TTTGCATTCCCACCAACAGTGTAAGAGGGTTCCCTTTTCTCCACACCCTCTCCAGCATTTATTGCTTGTAGACTTTTGGATAGCAGCCATCCTGACTGGCGTATAATGGTACCTCATTGTGGTTTTGATTTGCATTTCTATGATAATGAGTGATGTTGAGCATCTTTTCATGTGTTTTTTAGCCATCTGTATTAAGATCTATTCTTTCAGCAACTTCCAAATATACAGCACAGTATTAAATAAACCATGGTCACTAGGTTGTATGTTTTATCCCAGTGACATTTATTTTACAACTGGAACTTCGTAGCTTTCAACTACCTTCACCCATTTTGCCCACTCACTACCCCCTGCCTCTGGCAACCACCTATCTGTTTCTGTGTCTATGAGTTCAAGATGTTTTTATTTTTGTTTTTATTTTAGATTTCACATGTAAGTGAGATCATATTGTCTTTGTTTTTCTCTGTCTCACTTACTTCACTTAACATTATGCCCTCAAGTTCCATCCATGTGTCACAAGTGGCAAGATTTCCCACTTTTTTTATTTTTCCATTTATATTTCCTTTTATTTTTCCATTTATTTTTAATTTTCCATTGTGTCTGTGTGTGTGTATCACAACTTCTTTATCCATTCATTCAATGATGAACACAGTTTGTTTCCATATCTTGGCTATTGTTGATAATGCTGCAGTGAATATGGGTACAGGTTTCTTTTCAAATTAGTGTTTTCATTTCCTTGCAAATCAAATATTTGAATGGCCAAAATGCCCAATAGAGAAATCAACAAAATATACACAGTTCAAAGAAAAACTACATGTATATACACTTATATATATAAAGAATCTAAAAACATCACTATGAAATAAAGGCAAATTAAAGCTATAATAGGGACTTCCCTGGTGGTCCAGTGGCTAAGACTCTGCTCCCAATGCAGGGGGCCCAGGTTTGATCCCTTGTCAGGGAACTAGATCCTGCATGCTGCAACTAAGACCCAGCATAGCCAAATACATAATTTTTTTTTTTTTACAAAAAGCTATAATAAATGCTATTTTCACTTGCCTACTGTCACACAAGGTAAGTTATCAGCTATTCCATATTTTCATGGTGCTGACATATCACAAATCAGATGGGTAAAGAAATACCTAACATATTTAAAGATATTTATTTTTATATTTATTTATTTGGCTGCCCTGGGTCTTAGTTACACCATGTGGGATCTAGTTCCCTGATCAGAGATCGAACCTGGGCTCTCTGCAATGATAACGCAGAGTCTTAGCTATTAAACCACCAGGGAAATCCCTGCTTGACATATTTTTGATGTGTTCAGTGTCCCTGTGCATTTAAATATGCTGTTCCTTCTGAATAGAAGGACAATCCTTCAACCCTTTGTCATTAGATTTACATCTAACTCCAACTCATTCTTCAAAACTCAGCTCATCTCACCTTCTCCAGGAAGCCTTTTTGGATTTCCATCACAACCACCCTAGTCTGATTAATTTCTCTTCTGGGTTTCTGGGTAATTTTTTTTTTTAATTTGATCATATTCTTGTCTCATTGATTTCAACCCTTGATTTACTTGTTCCATTTCTCAACTACTCTGTAAGAGCACCAAGTCTAATTTGATTTTGCGTTCCCAAGGCCTCGCTCATTGGAAGCACTCAAAGATTCTTTGTTGGATGTATGAATGAAGAACTTGTTACTTCAAGGGGAGATCATACTTGGTTGATTTAGTGACTCTGGGGTATGTGTCAAGCACACTCCACTGGGAGGCAGTGTTGTGCAGTGAAAAGCTCTCAGCTTTGCATGTATGCCTAGCTCCCACATCACTCTCACCACCTTCTACCTGCCTGTTCCAGGACCATGCAAAATCTCAAGACTCCAGCAAAATGAGAAGAGTATTTTTCTTATAAGATTATCATGAGGAGTAAAGATAACTAAGGTAGATTTAGGAAACGTGTCCAGCATATTGTAGGTGTATTTATCATAAGGAGTGTGTGTGTATGTTAGTTGCTCAGTAGTATCCAACTCTTTGCGACCCAATGGGCCGTAGCCCACCAGACTCCTCTGTCCATGGAATTCTCCAGGGAAGAATACTGGAGTGGGTATCCATTCCATTCTCCAGGAGATCTTCCCAACCCAGGGATCAAACCTGGGTCTCCTGCATTGCAGGTGGATACTTTACCATCTGAGTCATCAGGGAAGCCCCTTATTGTAAGGTAATTTTTGATTACTTGCTTATATGCTAATAGCCCCAATTGCAGGTAAAAGTCTAGTTCAAAGAAGTGTTCTTCGAAATAATGTTGCAAATTATGGTTTCCGAAAAGGCTGTCAGCCCATTTCTTACCTCCCTCAGAGGTCTTGGGGTTGCAAGGGTTCAGAGGTTCTCAGGGCTCCACGGCACTAGGAGTCCCCCTGGGACTTAGGCAAGTCAAGGGCTTTAATGACTGTTACCACCAGGTCCTGGTTCAGCTGTGTGTGCATTAAGTAGATTTTTACACACTGGCCTGGGAAACAAGCCACTATCTATAATTCTGTTTCTATGGGGAAAGGCTTTCTGTGTTCCAAACAACCCACATACTATTGAACTCTTGGAACACAGCCTATTGGTCAGCTGGGACCAGCTGACTGGGTTTATATGGCTAGGCAGCAGTGAGAGTGACTACACGATGTTGATCTAATAATCACAAATCCTCTCCGGTGACTAATCTAGCTGTGGTCTCCACAATTGAAGAGGAATTTTTTAAAAACTGGAGAGGATTCTACAAAGAACCACAAAGATGGTTAAAGAGCTGCAGGAAAATCTAGTCTGATCTCTATCGTGTCCAGAGGATTCCAGAAACTACCCCTATGATGTGAGCTACTGTGTGTTCAGTCGCTCTGTCGTATCTGACTCTTTACGACCCTATGGACTGTACCCTGCCAGGCTCCTCTGTCCATGGGATTCTTGAGGCAAGAATACTGGAGCAGGTTTCTACTTCCTCCTTCAGGGGAATTTCCTGACCCTGGGATCGAACCCAAGTCCCCTGCATTTCCAACATTGCAGATGGATTCTTTATCACTGAGCCACTGGGAAAAGCCCAACCCCTGCGATAATCACTCTCAAATGAAAACAAAAAGTGTTTGACTCTGCACTGTGTCAAATACCTCTATCATTTGCTAATTGATTATAAATTCATAGGGAAGGGAGCCAAAGTTAGTCAAGCACTCACCTCGGTATCAGGCAGGCCTCTTCCATACAGTTCTTAAGTTTATCCTCAGAGACACCCTGCCAGACAGACATTAACATGTCTGTTTTACAGATGAGATTCTTGTTGAATCTTGAGATTCAACAAGATTAATCTGACAAAAATTTTACAGCTAATCATACAGAACCAGAGTTCAAATTGTCAACATCCGTTGTATCATCAAAAAAGCAAGAGAGTTCCATAAAAATATCTACTTCTGCTTTACTGACTATGCCAAAGCCTTTGACTGTGTGGATCACAACAAACTATGGAAAATTCTTAAAGAGATCAGAATACCAGACCACCTTACCTGCCTCCTGAGAAATCTGTATGCAGGTCAAGAAGCAACANTGGACTATAAAGAAAGCTGAGCATGGAAGAATTGATGCTTTTGAACTGTGGTGTTGGATAAGGCTCTTGAGAGTCCCTTGGAAAACAAGGAGATCCAACCAGTCCATCCTAAAGGAAATCAGTCTTGAATATTCATTGGACGGACTGATGCTAAAGCTGAAACTCCCATACTTTGGCCACCTGATTCAGAGAGCTGACTCACTGGAAAAGACCCTGATGCTGGGAAATATTGAAGGAGGGAGGAGAAGGGGACGACAGAGGATGAGATGGTTGGATGGCATCACCGACTCAATGGACATGAGCTTGAGTAA